TGATATAAGTACAGCTATAAAACGCTGCTTAAGAAGGGCGGGCTTAGAGAATTCGGTGAGCGTAGTTGAAATACCACCGAGTAATCTTAAGCGCCAGCTAGTTCGTAACCGCCTATATGACCGTCTATGTGCAACTCAAAATTGCATAATTTGCCCCAGTGGTAGAGACGGTGATTGCATGAGCTCGGGTATAGTTTATCTGATCTCCTGTAAGAAGTGTGGTGACGAATACATTGGCGAAACGGGTAGACCCCTCTGTGTCCGCATGAAAGAACACCTAGCCGGCAAAAATAGACCAAATACCCCGCTAGGCACGCATAGGACCCAGAGAGATAACGGGGACGACTTCGAAGTATGTGTCACGATCCTCGCTCGCGAATCAAGAACACAGGCGCGAAAAACTCTCGAGGCACTCTGGATTAATTCCAGAAATCCGAAAATGAACCGCAGGGAAGAATGCCTCATTATCACGCGTGATATAGGGCAGTATATAAAACTGCTTTTCTGATGTGAGGGGCACATTGTACTTCCACGTGATTTCTGTGCGGTTGGTCTCTACGGACATACTTAGTGGAAGCCTCATAGAAAGCGGTGAGTGTGCAAAGCTGTGTTCAAAGTGATTGAAATCTTGGTTTGGAGTTTCTTTGCTTGGTTATGGAGGCGTCTGGCCGAGTGAGTTGCTATCAACTTGACCTTTCCAACCTCTGAAGAAGGCGAAATCCGCCGAAACGTCAGCTTAATCGTGAACAAAGAATAGTAACACCTCGCGTTTGCTCAACAAAAATACGAAGAAAATCACTGACTATATGCATTGAAAGGGCATTGCAAGTCATTGTACAGACTAGATGTTCATCCAGTTATGTCTGCTATGCATGATGAAACCAAATGCATGATGTATCCTTAAGCACCGAACGCTTTTAAGCTTTATATTATTATGCTATGCGCTTCGCATCAGTTTCTCCACTATATGTATTGCGATTATTCAACGTCCTGAAGTGGTCTGCTTTCAAGTTGCCTGGGAATTTCACTGAGTTTAATCCTCATATTTATTGCATACTGATTTTTATGGATAGTGTGAAGTTATCCCGTATATAATGCTGAGATATTTGCAAAACTCCGGACCGCATGTGTATGCGGTGGAGATTGTGATTATAACTAAGCCTCAGCTTAACTGGGTTCAATGCCGATTTGGGCTCTCCAGATCAATCCCATTGACGGGTGATTGCTGATGGCAAAAGATCAATAGAACTAGCTGAGAGACAGGCAAAACGAAGGAACCGGATGGTGTGGTGGTAAATGCGCTACTCCCCGGAAAGGATAATAGCGCGCGTTCGTTCCCCACAGCATACACCTGCGGTCCGGAGTTTTGCAAATATCTCAGAATTATATACGAGTTATATTTCGCAACATACCCTGCCATTAAAAAGGAAAAAGGCAGTAAATAAAAGGGTTAAGAGTGTAAAGTTATCATTTTCAAGCATTCACGAAGTATTCAACGTTCTCTCCAGAGAAAGGCATTTTTATTTGCACGGACACAGAATATCTTAGAAAAGTGTGGGGTTGTCTGTTTAATTCACTATAATATAGTCTAACTGTCGCAATTTGTTTCATGACCAAAATTCCTCGGGCTTCATCAGCATGCTAGTAAGAAAATTACTTAATCGTTAGTATGAAATTTATTCTAGTGTTTATTCTCCAATCAACCACAAGCCTATGGAGTGGAACTAGGGTGTGTAATACGTGAGATTCTATAATTATTCGAATACAACGACATCCACTATAATGGCGGTAAAAATTCCAGGAATGGAAATAAGAGTCGATATGGGTGATCCAAAAGCAAAAACATGCAAGGTCTACAAGTTAGTACTCACTGGTGGTCCTTGCGGCGGCAAGACAACTGGGCAGGTAAGCTGCACTGTAGCTCAAATTCTTTCAGGTATCGTGTTTGGAATGTTTAAAGTTCCACAATACATGGTTTTTTTTTGAGTTTTAGGCCACCATTCAGTTTCTAACAAAGCAACAAAAGCATTTAAAATGCTGATAGATTATTCTTTGTCATTTGATTAACGGGTAAAATTCTAGCGGGCATGTTACCTTTATCTATGACTGAGTACGACGTCAAGCGTTAGTAAGTGCTGTTTAGTAAATGTTTAATGTAACTTATTGTACTGTTTTGTTAAACAGTAAATTTCTACGTATTGCTACATTTAGTATGACGTTGGTGTTTTTGATTTCTTTTAGTTGCGGTTTCGGATCGTGGTTATTAAATTACAATAACCAGGTTCGAGGGCATGACCCACTCCATTAATAATCATAATCAGGTCTCTCATCCCTCTGGAGTCGGCAAATTGGTGCCAGACTTGTTCGAAAAAAACTCCCTCCGATTCACAGTCAGTAGACATGAGAATCAACTAGACCAGCATTCAGCGGCTTTTATGACGAAGGCAAATTCCTTAAGTGGTAACCGAACCCACGCCTAAATTTGTAAACTTCCATGGACGAAAAAGACAAGAAAACGAACTGAATGAACGAAGTTCAGGGTTCCGCGAGATATCTGGATATCTGAAGCCGGTTCATGTAAGTGGACGAATAAGTGATTAAGTAAAGAAATGCAATGAATAAGTTTAAATACGGTTTTATCTTCGAAACTGAATCCATGATATTCTGCACATTTTTGCTGATAAGTTGTAAATTTATCTCCTTAGGACAGAATTCTGATGTTCTCAAAGTTACGAATTCTCCGAAAGCATTTGGAGACCTCCGTTATTAAATCTTCTCTGGGCTTCTTTTTCAAAATAACGAAAGACTATTTCTCAATCGCATTGAGAGGTAGGGTCAAAATTGAGCGTTATGTAATAATTGACGGCGTTTGTGACACCGAATCTGCATCAAAAGAAGGCCGTGGCGAATTCAGTGAGCTCTTCATATAGAATCGCGTCCTATAACCATTTCAGTTTTAGCCGATGCATCAAAACAGATAAATATTGTCAAAAGATCGATAATACGGATTAATTACTGGAACATCTGCTAACGCTGTGTCAATGGATGGATAAACGTCCATGATGACGTCCACCCATGCGTCTCATAACAAACTCTGTAGAAGGAGTTCTTGAATGAATTGGGTTACGAAACTCTGAATCAGCTCATCTCAGTATCTATTAGCTGAAGAAGTTTTTCGAGATGAAATAAACCTGTATCTTATTGGGAAAATTGTGTGCTATCTAATGATTCTTATTTTAACCAGTAAAATTGTCTCGTCTATTTGTAATGGCTTGAAATTCCCGGTATAAAACTGTATTTATTTCACACTAAGCTACTATTCTGTTTGAATAATATATACATCTAGTAAACGTAAACATGTTTTAAGGATCGCCTTGCCACATTTTTTGAAAACATCGGTTGGAAAGTGTTCACGGTACCAGAAACGGCAACAATTCTATTAGGAGGACGTGTGAAGTTTGCAGAGCTCAATTACGAGCAAACATATCTTTTTCAAAAGGATTTGCTGAAGACGATGCTACAAATCGAAGATGTACGGTTGTTTTATTTTTTATTAATATTTTATTGAACGGGGTGTCAATATTTCGTAAGGTTTAAAATACTAGAACGCTTTAGAACACTATTATGTTTGGAGTAGGAGTTTTGATTCAGTGTGCTGTGAATCTTTGAAGCAATCGGTACTAGCTTTCGTTTCCGATCCTTCGTTGGCTTTTTGTATCCATGTAATGGTGAATATTCGCAGGTCTGCACTGTATTTTTACTAGATCTAACTCAGTGTATTTATTAAGAAAAGTGGGCAACGCAACCGAAAACATAGTGCAGTCGTGTTTTAGAGTAAGGAAGTAGCAATGTATGGAACGCTGGAAAAGGAAAATTAGGGTAACACTGTGTTTATACACTTAGTTCACCCATCTCTGTATTTTATGCGAATTCCAGCACTTATTCCATTCGTTTCGCTGTTCTGCATATATTTCGACTTCAGATTTGGATTCGGCTGTTGTTTAAGGATCTGTGGTCTTTTCTCTCCTCATTATTGTGCTAGACTGTGGTCGTGGTCAAGCGTAATCGTTTACTACCTTGTGTGTTGGATTCTTCCAGAATGAGAGCAGCGGCTTTGAACAGCAGCGAGTTTTGTCATCTATCATTTGATCGTTCGAAGACGATGTAGCAGGTTGAATCTGTGGAAAATATGGCTTACTCGAATTTAGCCAGGAAAATCTTTTCGTTTTTTACTGTTTTCCCTTTAAAGGAGCATTTTATAAAATCAGTTTTTGGAATCCTCTCGGAGCAGAAATAATTTATGTGTAGTAATTCGTGGGTGAGATGATTGTAAGAGGATCCGAGACTATCAGCAGGGATCGCTATATTCCTAATGTTAATACTTAGTCCTTGGTTAAACGTTCTGGGTAAAGTGCATTGTGGAGTAATCGCAGATGTTATGTTAGAGAAGACAGAGATAGACTGATGTTATAATTTAGGCATTTAATGTTGTGTTAGATTATTAAGCTAAGACGACGTTGTTATACAACTTTTACTCGGCTAGTGTTTCGACCCTTTCGTCTTTATCGAAGCCGGGTTGATCCGAGTCGGTGATCCACAGTCTTTGGTCTTCGTGATGTGGGTCTTCGTAGTTGTATTAAGTCGAATGTTTTAGAGTAAAGAGCTACTGGAATAAAGCATCCTCACTCAGCTAGGTTAATTGATATAGGACGGTTGTTGATCAGTTGCCATCCATTTTGATTTGTTTCATGCTGCTAAAAATGCATCCTCCATCGGTCATAGTATTAGCTATCACAGAGCCTTTTAAAACGTTAGGCTTTTAACTTTAAAAAATGTGTCATATCGCGTTATGAACTTCATGGGTAGAAATAAAATCTATTGGAATCTACAGATATTTAGCAGAAAAGTGCAAGCTTTTTCCTCGCTTTTCTTTCGTAGTGGCTTATATTTCGAACAGCAAAGTGATTAGGCAATGTTCTACAGAACCCAGCATACCTTCAATTCGATGCTTTTTGGTCGCATCTGTCATCAACAAAGGTCTTCAGATTTGCGCAGGGATTCGGCTGCACCTACAGGGCTTTAATTATCTCAAGGATTCTGGGATAGTTCTCTTACAGCACTTCCAGGTCATCACCACTGCACAAGGAAATTTCGGAGTACATAAAGCATACTATAAGATCATATTGAAGGCTTAATGAATTCTTAAATAACATTCAAAATGTATGTTTCGCGTTTCTTCATCTGCTCAGCAAATAAGAAACACTTTTGATGTTACATTTATAGAGACAGTAACTGTTTGTTTGTCATGTGTACTTTATGGAAGAAGAAATGTAACGTTAAAGAGTAGTTACGATATGCATGTCCAAATTTAGTGAAAATGTATAGCATAGTAAAAGTTAGTGGTTTTGCTAGGTTATTGAAGACTTATTACCAAGCTCATTTTTATTAGAGAATATAGATGTTGATGTAGAATATCACTCACCAAAATGTTTATTGGTGATTGCATAGTATCACTGAGATAGGTGGAAGGAAAACATAATAGAAAAGCTGAGGTCATAGTGGAAGGGTGCGCGTGGCGCAGTGGTCGGAGGTGCCCTACAACACACACATGGGATTGATCCCCGCGCCCCAGGCTTACCAAGCCTTCCATCCCTCTGTGGCCGGCAAACTGGTATCAGACTTATCTGAGAGGATAGCAGCACTGGTTTGATAAATCTGTACGTCACCGCGAGTCATTATAAAGGCCAAATATGCATTCAATCACCTCCAAATGATGCTTAATGAAGTCGAATGCATGGAGCATCCCACAGGGGTTTATCAGTGCTGTCCTTTATCGTTTATCATAATGAATTATCATCCACATATTGGTTTACAAATTTTGTGACATTTACGAAATGCCAAACAGAGCGTGTTGTCAGTTAACCAAACATTCTCAGACCTCTTGCTCAATAAAGTGCCGAATTATGAAAGTTTTTTCATTTACGCATCCATTCATGCATTTTGTTTGTCTCTTGCAGACATACTTCCATCAGGCAGAGAGTACAACAGATCGCAATGTACTCGTTATTTGCGATCGTGGTGGAATGGATCCATCGGCTTACATCGATCGTGTAATTTTCTTTTTTTTGAGTCTACTTTCCTTTGACTTCTTTATTAGTTGTTTAAGCTCTAGACTCGATATATTCGTTTCTTTTCCTAATATCGAATTAAAGTTCTTAATGAGAGGGTAACATGAATAACGGAGTAAATGTTTAACTCTAGGCTTCACATTCATTCTTTCTTTGCCTTTGATGGCTGAGTCATGCAGGTAGCATCATATTTTCCATCTGAGTTCCCTTATAGTCATCGTCGTCCATGGCGGTCATCTGTTTCGTACATGGTGATGTTAGTGAATGTTGTTCTGAGGTCTACTATAAATAGCATCTAACCGAACGCATTCGTCCACTTGAGCAAGACACGCGTCCATCCGTGCCTTTTTTCAGTTCACTCTCTTCCTTTTGTCTGTCCTTTGTCTGTCTGTCCACGGCAACGTGGCGCCTCCCAAAGTGGCGGATAGGGTGTTAATCGCAGACCAAAACCGACCTCATGCTTCCCTGAGACGTAGATGGGTCTGAAAGATGGATTACCACCTGTTTCTGCTGTGCAAATACTTTCTGTGTTTGCGAGGACGTATTCATGCATTCGTGCGTGGGTGTGTTCTCGTTTATGCGGTTTGTAGTCTATGAGTTAATCCAGTCATAAACCTGCAATCAAGTGACGGAGAGGTAGTATATGGGGGCAAGCGGTTAGAAGTCACTTCTAACAAAGAAGCTACTCTTCTATTCTGGGAGAAATTAGAAAGCCACATGTTAGTATTCTCAGCTCCCACGTTCGGGGTTTAGTAAACTATACGTGAGTATCAAGCGTTAGACGGAATATTAAGTGGACCTCATTCTCCTGGCCCCGAAAGAACACCGATTCGGCAGCGCTGGGTTGAATGCGTACGGAGAGGCTTCTAAAATCTCAGGGTTATTCTCGCTTGCCTAAATCTCGAAGGTGAAACTTATCTGTTCGCTTTTGATATCTGTCGTATTGGATTTCGAGTGGTCCGCCCAAATGTTGTGCATGCTGGTTATTATTAACCCGCATTTCAGCTGTATTGCAGAGTGGAGGATTTGAAGCCTGTCTGCTGGTCGCTGGTTTCTTTGAGAGGTTAGAACGCGGCACATGCTTTCGAATTTTTCCTTGCGATACATCTTTTATGTTGTTTTCCGTGTCTATTGAGCTCCTTTGTACATTTAGGTTATGATTTAAAAGGTGATACTGGGCCATGTGCATTAGTTATTGAGTTCTTTTTTCTTCAATCTCTAAAGCAGCTTTTTGGGGCTTTTCCAATTCACGGCCAAATGCATCCTTTGCCTGTAATGGATCGGAGTGCAGATTGTGTACTTAGCGCGTACCTTAGGAGTTCGATGGTTAGATTCGTCACCCGCCTTAATTTTTGAAGAAGGTTTTCATCTTTAGCACTAAGTTGCTACTAAAATATTAGCAATTTCTGGAATTCGTTTGTTCTTTGTTGAGCTTCCTGGTGGATTTGTCGAACAACTTAGCTCAGTGGTTCTGGATATACTTTGTTGCTTATCGTAGTTTGACATTGAAAAACACACTGGGCGGCGATCCGATGAGGACATACCAGCCACCTACATTTGTTTATTGCGAGATGTGATGTTCCTAAAAGTGGTTTCAACTTTGGGAAACTTATCTAATTCGTCGAAAATGAAATAATTTTCCAAACTGAACTCTTTACAATGCATTTTGCTAATGGTGGAAGAAAGGGCATAAATATATGAAATAGTTGGTGGGAGATTCTTGTGAAAAGGCAAAATAAATATAGCATTATGTTACGAGTTAAGTTTTTAGCACTTGCGGAAAATTTTCGGAAAATTATAGCATTAATATCGGGGCATTTAGTGCGAGAACACTATCGCCGTAGTTAGTAATTTGATATATTCAACGCCTCTACTTCCTTGATGTACAGGTGATTCTTGAGCGATCAAAAGAGATGAAAAGCAGGAACGTTCAACTAGAGAGGGTATACGGTATCTGGAAGAAATTCCCAATCACATCTCAACATTGTCTAACGAGCCACCATAGCAATGTGTGGACGATCGTTGTTATACAGAAGGAAAGCCGTGATGCGTATGGGTCTACCCTTTGAATAACGTAGGTCATCTTCAAAGGTTGACTAGTATGGACGCGGTTTTCATTGTAGGACCTGTTGTTGAGTACTTACAGTGCAGCATCTGTTCTTAACTCCACAAACAGCACAGAATAGTATTCTTTACTATATATGTGATTTCGATCATAGAACAGCAAATTTGCACAGGGCCAGGTTGTGTGTGGTAAAGTTAGAGGATCGGGCCATCATCTTTCAAATGAATTTACTTCGGGAGGTCTTTTCTGTACCGACAAAATGATTCCTTGAGGCAACGTACTTTGCTAGAGTTGCTAAACCCAGAAGGAATCCACGTAAAATATCTGGTGTTTAAATGTCTAGAGCTTGTCTCATGGTTGCCGATGGGGCCGTGTTAACCCCTTCGCGACACAGCTGGTTTTTCAAAAATTAACGGTAATTTCTCAATGAATGTAGTACTTCGGGTGTTCAGAAATGTTCAGATCCACAAGAAAGACTTTGGTCCATCGCACTAGTTGTATAAGTAGTCTTTATACTACGTACTTTCGAATTCAAATATGTTTAAAATCAGGATTTTCAAAAAATCGGGAACGAAGTTTACATGTTTACAAGTTCTAAAATTTCCAACACACGAGCGACAGCTACAAGGACGAATGTTGGGAAACACCAATTTTTTATCTGGTTGTCAGTATGACGAATAATAACATTAATATCTCGCTTTTAGAAGAAACGATATCGATTGGAATCGACCGCATACGTTTGTTTATTTTCATTTGTTTTCCTTCTGGTCTTTAGGAACTAGCAATGAACGCAGAGGAAGAATCTACTCTTACTTGTGGATTTTGTTCGATTATTTTTAATCATATAACTTCTATTTACTTAACGTGAACTGATTTGATAGGAGATGGGTGGATTTAAGTAGGTGGGACTATGCCACCTACAGTTTGCCTCTTAAGAACACTTTCTTTTACATTGCCAGGTTTTTCTTTTGTTCCCATATGACCAGCAGTCTGCGTGAGTAATCTTTATGTCTTTTCTTGTATTTTTAAGGAGTCATGGCTTCGAATTCTATCCGAAGTAGGAGTCGATGAATTCGATCTTCTCAACAAACGTTACGACCAGGTTTGTTTAAAACTTGTCTCCTGGATGATTGTACATCAGATATGTAGCACTGTCAGGGTGGGAGTGTCTAGTTATATGGTTCCTAAGCATCTAGTTTCTGATATGCCTTTTCTTTGAAACATCAGGAAATCACGAGCTTTTTACTTTTCCTTTGAAACATGCGGAATAAAAAACGATGCAGTTTTCGTTTCTGAGTGGTATTTGGTGCAAATCATTCTATTGTAATAATTTGTTTAATACAAAATATCTGATTTTGGAGGGATATTAGCTCCAAATCTGGTCTTTCTTCAAACTTTTCCACTTGACCTTAGAATTAAACCGATTTAACTTTCTAGGAATGCGGTTTTATCAATGAAGATGAAAGCTACAACCATAATGATACTGAGCTATTTGCAAAACTCCAGACCACAGGTGTCTGCGATGAGGAATGAATGCTCTATTATCCTTTCTGGGGGCTACCGCGTTCACCACCATATCATGCGGGTACTTCGTTTCTCCCTTCTCTCAACTAGTTCTGTTGATCAGTGCCATCAGCAATTACACTCCATTGGGATTGATCTGGGGCAGCCAAATCGGCATTGAACCCAGGTAAGCTGAGGCTGTAGTTGAAATCACAATGTGAATTTTTTATTTGCTACCTATTATAATTGTAATAGGCATCAAATAAAAAGTTAACACAAAGTTGAAAAAAATTGCAACGAATAGATTATTTCTGCATAACGAGTACTTGGGGTTTAAATGAGTATTTGGATCTTTGAGTCGTGTATTGTCCTTGAAGGTTTCTTGGACTGTCTTTTGAGTCTCGGATGTTGTCTCATAGAAGGGATTATCCAAACGTTTGATTATTTGATTTTCATCAGTACCTAATCATTGAACTGTGTATTACATATTGTCCTAAATTATTCACTTTTCAATATCAACATTATTCTTCATCACTCCGAATAGCAGTGAAGAGCTGGTTTCTTTCTCCTGTGTTCCCCTGTGGTTTCTGCCAGTGTTGTCCAGTGGAATCCAGTTATCAGAGTTTAGGAATTTTCTTCGACTTGGCAGAAATAGTCGTGCCGCACTCTGCCAATTTGCCATTATTCGTAGTTAACGTTATTATTGGACTTTCCACGATCTTTGTTTACGTTAAAGTCAATCATGTCATACTACCTGGACTAGATTAGTACATGATTCTATGCTTCTATTGCTCAGAAAGGCAGAGTTATTTGAACAGACGGCAGTTTAGGTGGTTCACTTAGTCACTGCTGCTGATGGTGCCGAATCGTATTACACATTGTGTAATAATTCCATAAGAAAAGAGGATGTGGAACTAGCGAGAGAAATGGATCAGAATACTAGAAAGGTAACAGATATCTCTTACATTCTGTAAGTGTGAAGAAGAAGAAGAAATTCAATCATTGTTTTTTTTTAAAGTTTTCCATCCATTTAATATGAGTATAATCATATGCAGGTAACACGAGTACTAGCGCTAAGTGAACCTACGTTTTATCCAAGACCTATTAGTTTTTCTTAGCTTTTGTCTACTTGTTTTCTGTTTAAATTGTCTTCAAGTTCTTATTAGCTTTTCTGTTTGAAAGCTGTATCAATTCTTCATTACAGGTTTGGCTAGGTCATCCATACTTTGATATTGTCGACAACACTGAATGTATTAAATTTGAGGACAAAGTGCTCAAAGTCATTCAGGTAAAGAATAGCTTTTTCAATAAATTCTTGGGTTAATTTTTGGAATTTATGATAAGTATGCGGGTTGGTTAGTGTTAGTGATCTCTGTAAGAATTTCATATCTTATCCAGCGATGGATCTAGTACTATATTGTTTTATGGTGTATTTGTAACATGTAGGAAAAACGTTCACATTACTTTCCAGGTCGTGTGTGACCGAACGGGCATTGATTCTCAAGATCGACTGAGCAAAAATAGCAGGTACGTCATTTTTTCACAAAAGTCGCTGGTATGCTATCTAGAATAACCCAAAATTGAACGATTTAAATCATGTACAGTGAATAAATTCTGGTAAAGATCATTACCCGTATGGATTTGGACTCATCCTCATCAAAGGAGACGTATTTTTGATATCATCTCATTTGTTATACTCATTAAAGGAAGCGTAAGTGGCTGGTGAGGAGCATCGACAACTCCCGATTCGTCAAATACGAGCAGTTCAATATTAACCATGAATATCTGCTGACATACGACTCTGAATCTCAGGTTTGTTATGGTTTCTTCTTTCGTGCTTACATGATGTACTTCCTCGGTTACTTGGATAGCCCGTCTCCACTGGTCGTGCGGGCCCCGACATAACTTCCATTTCTTAAAGGTTTTTCTGGTTTAACCATTGTGATTCCCTGTTGTCACGAGATCAGCCTGGCCAAAGTCTGCCCCAGGTAGCCACCACTACAGGCAGTCGCTGCCTTTGTGGATAAGAGGGATATTTTCCACAATACGACTAGTTTGATATCAAGGGGTGGTGGATTCTGGTATTCGTTTACTCTTAACTGAGCTTCCTAATGTAAGCGCCGAACTTCTTCCCAGCTTGGGAGACGCTGTTAGGGTGATGAGCTCTTTCGCTGTATATTGCAGCCCTACATCTAGGAACACCTCCCAACCGCGATGAGGCGGTAAAGCTTTGGGAAGTTAAACGATATAGGTGATTTTATTTATTAATTACAGGTTCGTATTCGTTCACGCGAACAAAATGGTCGTTCCACATACACTGTTACCAAAAGAGATCTTCACGGAGACGAGTATGTGGAAACAAGGTACTGTTCCTGTTTTTATATCAGTACTCTTGATTGGTGATGTTCTTTATCCGTATATTCGACTTGTTTCGGTGTTTCATAAACACCTAGTGGGGCTGTATTTTCAAATTGTTATAACTCTGTGTTTCTTAGTTCTCTTATGGACTGATTATGCTTTTTGGTTGGACGGGAACAATTTAATGAAAGAAGGTCGCATTCTTAAGCGTACCTTATATTTTACACCATTTCAATGCTGGACGGCCTTTTTTTAGAACGCAGATCACGTTCCGCGAGTATAAACGTTATCAAACCATGAAGGACAAAACTCGTGCCTCTCTACATAAGCAAAGACGGTGTTTCATGGTTGGAAATCAGGTGCATAATGAAATTATTCTTTAGGAAATCCTTCTTATTGATGGCATTTTTCAAAGTGATCTTATTCTGTTTTAGTATTTTAACCTCGATATCTACACTGTCATTCCACCATCTGCGATCTCATTGCAACTGGACAATCGTCTGATTTTCCTTGAAACGTACACCACTATTCCAGTAGGACAATCAGTGCAACTACCTGATTTCTTGGAAATTGAAAAGGTTTCGTGCATCATATTTCTTCGCATTCACTACATTTCGTATAACATTAACAACTAGTGTTTAACGATATACTGAATTTACTTAGTTCAATAGACTATCTTTGTGAAAAGTCCCACGGGCCTCAGAAAATCCCAATATAATTGGTAATTTGGTTGTCCGGACCAGATTTCCTTTGCATTTTTGGTCTTAAAAAACTAGTGGTCGAACTAGATTAGCTAAAACGCAAATCACATTGTTAGGGTTTGTTATATGTCGTTAGGATTTCATCTAGTAGAAAGTTATTGGAGTATGACTGGGTGTTTTTCTTCTCCTTTTTCGGACAACCTCCCAGTATGGTTTTGCTGCAGGAAGTCACAGGACAATTGGCGTACAGCATGTATTCGATGTCCAAAATACCGAATGTCGGTGGAGAAAACGAAGAATTCCATGGAGCCCATAAATATATAGATGATTGAACAGACCTCAGTTCCACTGTTGCAATTTTTTTTCTATCACGTTGTCTTTGGAAAAGTTAAGTGCTCTTTAGGTGGATCTATAGACCTTGGTTTTCATATCAAATTCAATTCTGATGAATCAATAGTTGGTTAAGCTCATTATTATCGTTGTAGTGAAGATTTTTGCTCATCTATAGGAAACTTCGCCTTTGATGATGCCTAGAAGGTCATTCTAACTTGTTATCTCTATATATTTTATTGTTTTCTTCTTTTGTTAGTTATGATTATTTTGAGTCGACCGGTGTGCATTTATTTCTATACGTCCTTGTTTTCAACATATGGTTCAGTAAAGAACGTAGTCTGAATTAAATTTCGTACAAATATTTTTCCTCCATCTTTTTGATCATTTTGAAAGCTTGATTCGGCCAGAAGTAGCAAAGCATCTGCCATTATCCGAGAGATGGAAATGAACGAAATATAAAGAGGATATCGTAAGCAAATTCCTTTGCCTAGAAGTCTCACATGTCACAGACAATGTAGACGATGAAAAAATGCGATCTGTTGACAAAAGTACTTCTTCAAATCCTCAGCTCTTTTAGAATTACCACTAAATCTTGGCTTGATGTAGAGCTAACAGCGGGAATTTATCTGCTGGTGGGGGGGAGACCGCCGGGATTTTTATTCGCTGATGTCCCTATTGCAAAAGAAAGCATGAAGAGAGGCACAGCTCTATAACCCGGTAATATTGTCGCTGAATTTCTTAGAGCCGTAGGCTACAAATTACACTTATTTCTCGCAACACAAATGACATCGTTCCTTCAGAATCAGGAAATCCCATACCAATGGGGGACTCGTACGGTTAACCTATCCAAAATGAGTAAAAATGGAGTTTCGAAGCTTTTGTCAGGCATGGCTTTTGAATGTCCTCTACAAGCTGTTCACAAGGATTTCCCTTTTGTGCAGCCCGAAGACCTTCGATGCGGTACAACCAGTTGAGTAGGCAGAATTCTGACGAGGTTTTTGTTACGGAGACCACATTAAAAGTATGTTGTGGGCCTTAAATGTATGTTGGGAGTACCATCGGCCTTCTGTTGTAGCCTGTGTCCAAAAAAAAGCTTATTTTTATTTTTTTGCATTTGATCCGTCTTCACGTCTACTGCGCTGATCCTAGCACTTCTCATATTCAATTCGATTCCTCCCATCCATTGTCCACGATGTTCTTCCAACTTTACGTGTGGCTTCGATTGCTACTTGAGGATTTTCATTTCATTTTGAATGTCGTAGAGTGCTGGTCGAGCAATTCTCCTTGGAGTGCTGAGATAACCGACCTGGAGCGTTTCTGGTTGGGATGCATAGAGTGATTTTCTTCACAGAGAAGTCCGGTACTAATTTCCCGACTCCGAAGGGATGAGGGGCTTGGTTGTTCAGGAGCGGACTCGAACTAGCGACGTGCTTGTGATAGCGGGCATCGCTACCACTGTGCTATCCGCGCTCTAAAAAGGCTTCACATCGACGAAACCAATACGTCTATCATCGCCCGTCGACTAATTAACTTATTCCGTGAAGAAATTTAGCTGATTCTCATTGTAGCTACAGAAGGGAAAGACCGCTTTTCCATCGATTCCTTGCTATTTCTGCAGGTGAAATGATTTGCATAGGGCGACACCATTGCATCAAAGCTGCTCATCACATTGCAGTGAAGTAGAACTGGATGGTTCTCTGAATACAGAGACCACCTCGCACATGCAGCTTAGACGCTCAATGAACACGTAAAGCAGCATGAAGGAGAGATTAGACAGAAGTGTGAGAGCAGCATGGGCCGCATTTGGGCTTCCTAAAGAAGCGACTAACCAACTAACGGACCCGAAAATCCGTGCTTATCTTTTCGATTCAACAGGCTTCCCAGCGTTCTGTTATGCAGCAGAAACGTGGGCTGACTCTTCAACCACGTTAAGAACTCTATGCGCTACTCACAGAACGCTTGAACGATGTCTTATAAAATACGGTCGGTACACTTCATCTGCGGAAATGCGAAGTTCTGATCTTCGAAATCTCTCAGCTTCTAGATCTAGGAGAACACACATCGATAGCAAAGCACAAATGCGCAGGTCTTATAATAACAAGAACCGATGAGAGGTGGACGAAAAGAACTGTGGATTGGACTCCAAGAGGACGCAAGCACTCTACCTCAAGAATCCTCCTGAGTGGTCACCGAGACTATGTGAAAACAGCGTTCGGTGATGGGGACGATTTCAGGACTATGGAGTGGAGCTCGCAAACGTTAGCATGTTCGAAGTAGACCACCACCATAGATAATGCCAGTGCGAGAGCGAAAGGAATGGAACTTGTGCTGAGGACACGCACTATCAGTGAAGGTGTGGCATTCCAGTGTTCAGGTAAGAAATTATACACACACACACATATATATATATATATATATATATATATATGGAATAGACAGATACATATGCATAGATATATTTATTTATTGTTTATATACTTTCATTCATTGTCTTCAGCTCTTCCAACTGCGAGCTAGACTCACACATTACAGGTACAGAAGTTTTTCCTATGATTTTGATTCACTTGTCATTTTTTTTGTAATATAGATAAAGAGCTTTATCATTTAGCTTTTATGGATAAAAGAGTAATGGATGAAGCGATAGGCCTTGATCAGTCCTTGGTGGATGTGCTATGAATTCGACTTCACCTGCAGAACTACATCGTTAAATGTGTTTGAATGCAAATCTGGCCTACACAATGACTTGCGATGAGCTACCAATGTATTAAGTTAATTCTGCTATTCTCCCAGATAAGTCTACTACCAATTTTTGTGCTGGAGGGTGAAGCAGGGTTCCGTGAGCGTGGTCACTGCGATCGGACCAATGACAACATGTGTGTGTTGCACAACCTCTCTAACCACTGCTCTACACGCGCCCTACAATATTGATAAGTTGCTTTGTTAAGGACTGGTCAGCTTCTAAAACCGTTTACACCTATTAATAGGAGTGTTTACTTACTTTAAGCGGAAAGATTCCTTCATACTTCTTTAAAATATTTCTTTTCATTTATAGGTTTCCTTAAACCTTTGCTGTATTTTCGCAACAATTGGATTGCACACTCACACATCGTACTAGTACTACATTCAGAAATGAACTAGAGGCTCCCTTCGTGCTCTCCTTTTAAAAAAAATGTAATGTCGAAGTTTCTTAAATGCATGAATTTTTTCATATTAAGGGAACAAGGTCTTTGTGAATGAATGCCTTTAACCTAACGAACTATTTGTTTCCATTTTGGTTCTATCACGGTTTCTTGTCATGTTTTTAAGACACCGTCAGCATTATAAAGAAATTTGAAAGCTTGAGATGATTTTGTTATCGAGAACGAATATACCCATCTAAGATCTAAGGTCTCAACAAAGTGATTCCTACGGTGATAAAGTGAGAAAATTGGAGTAATCTCAGTGAATAGGTGTTATCAAGTGGTACCAGATGGCAGCGCAGCGTATTGTTTCAAAAATTGCCCCCAATGAGATTTTTGTTGGTGTAAGCTTACCACCTTCATTATGATTACGTTTTCGTTTCTTTGACATAGCAGAAGCTATCAAGTTTTGGTAAAGCTTCTCTTGGTTTTATTTGTACTGCCGAAACGTTTCTGATCGATTCAGAATTTTTAATGCGGTTCATCGTAGTGAGATTCCGTTCTAGATTAATATAATCTTTATGAACGGGGTTTGTGATGTATATCTCTCCAAAGATGGAACGATGGTTATATTCCCTATAATTGTGAGCGCCCTATTTCTATTCATCAACAGCAATGCGACTCTGGTAATGATCTTTTCTTAAATTTATTGTTAAACTCTACACTAATCGATGATTTGTGTTGTTTGGTATGATACGATCTACTAATTGTTTTATAATACTTAAGCAGTTGGAGAGCTGCTGTAGTTCTGATTGGATTTGTTGTCACTGTTAACGTGATCATACATGGAATGTCTGAATTCAAGCTATCCGACGAAGACGAATATGTGGCCAGTGCAACCATCATCAATGAGTATGGAAGAGTTTTTGCTTTACTGATCACATGAACTCCTATTTCGTTCCAAATTTCAGCAATACATTCTTAACAATGACTTTTGGCTAGGAACGGATTCTGCTATGTTCCGTGTAATTCATCTCACTTACGAGTGAACCACTAAAATTCGAGTACTTTTAGTTTGTGTGCTTCTACTCAATGCTATTAATGGTGCAATGTGAACTAGCACCGATTGTGACACGTGTGGAAATTGGTGTTATAATCAATAAAGAGTTGAACATCACCCAATATCATCTTATCTGACTCACTGAATAGTTAGTAAGACCGTTTTCAAAGAAGACTATTTCCTCTTCAATTTCACGATTTCATGCTACTGTCTTCTCGTCATCAATCCCACTTTTTCTTTCTTCTTGCCTCTACTAACACTTAAGCTCTTAAGTTGGATGTTGGTTCTACTACTATTTGCTAGACATTCATAATGGTCGGATTATCTTTATTACTGATGTTTTGGGTAGTCTGAATCGACTTTTCAAGATTATAGAGTTCCTATTTATCCTTCAAATAGATTACCGAAATCATGATTTGAAAGTCAATTCATTATAATGTACGAAAATTTCTCTTTTTTCCTTCTTTTGAAAACCTCAGGCAGCTTGCTCTGATTTTCAAAATAGCCGTCAGTACATTATAGCATTGGTTAGCGAACTTGTGATCCGTGATAAATAAGTTAAATTAATACTAATCTTACAAATACGTGTTTTCTGGGCTCCTGGGTAGGTAAACTTATCATCTGTCCGGTGTAGACTATTTGGTACTAATTAGTACCAGACTCGTTTGATTCAAGAAAAGCATTGACTTATTATATTGCGAGACCAGCGCAAGTCATTCATCAGATCAAATATGAATTCAATTACCTGTGCTGTGCTACATACATCGATAGATGGAGTCGAATGAACGGCTCCTCCTTAGGGGATTTATGAAACCGAGCT